CTTTTTTTTTTTTTTTTTTTTTTTTTTTTCTAAAAAAATTAAAAATAAAAAATGCACCCCCCATTTATTTTTTATTTTATTATTATTATTTTTTTTAAAGATGACTGGTAAGGGGATCTCAACCCTTGGCTTAGTGTTGTCAGCCCCACGCTCAGCCAGTGAGCCAACCAGCCATCCCTATATAAGATCCGAACCCGCGGCCTTGGTGTTATCACCACTGCACTCTCCCAAGTGAGCCACGGGCCGGCCCTTCACATTCATATTTCTACTGAACAGTGCTTTTCTACAGATGTTTGATAAAATATTCAACTTAATCTACCACATCAGATCCTATTAGGGTATACAATTTACTTCAGACACATCAGCTCAAGATAAGAAACTTTGGTCCTTACCAATGATAATCAATTCTCTACTTACTAGATATAAGCTTTGCTTTCTCAATCACAAATAGGGATATAATTTAATATCCTACCTATGAGAAGATTTAACTTTTCCATAGATCTGATTATACACAAATGTGAATTATTTTATAGTGCAAGGTTAAGAAGTATAAGAAACAGACACCCACCCCCCCCCTTTTTTTTTTTTTTTTTTAAAGATGACCGGTAAGGGGATCTTAACCCTTGACTTGGTGTTGTCAGCACCACGCTCAGCCAATGAGCGAACCTGCCATCCCTATGTGGGATCCGAACCCGGGGCCTTGGTGTTATCAGCACCGCACTCTCCCGAGTGAGCCACGGGCCGGCCCCACACCCACCCCTTTTGCAAAAGAAATTTTCCTTTTGTAAAAATCAAGAAAAGTCATCCAACAACTTGTGCACAAATATTCATGGAAGTATTATTCATAACAGCCAATAAGTGGAAATGATCCAAATGTCCATCACTGATAGATAAATAAAATGTGGTATAGCTGTACAATAGAACATTATTTGGCAATAAAAAGGAATGAGTACTGATAACATGCTTCAACATGGATAAGCTTTGAAAACATTATGCTAAGTGAAAAAAGTCAGTTAAAAAAGACCATTTGTAATATGACTCCATTCATATGAAATGTCACAATAGGCAAATCTACACAGACAGAAAGTAAATTATTGGTTGTCAGAGTGTAAGGGATTGGAAGTTGAAGGGTGGCAAGTGATTTTTAATGGTTACGAAGTTTCTTTGGGGGATGATGAAAAATATTCTAAAATTGACTGAGGTGACAGTAGTACAACTCTATAAATATACAAAAAAATACTGAATTGTATACTTTAAAATGGGTAAATTGTATGGTATTTGAATACTATATATCCTTAAAGCTGTTATCAAAAAGAAAAGTAAAAAATTAACCAATACAGAAAAATGAATACAAAAAGTTTCATATCAATCTTACTGAGAACACTCTGTGGTCTTTCCTTTATTCTGATAGTCCATTATACACTGAATAAGATGGTTATTTTCATCCAACATCTGAAATAAAATTAGAAAAAGTTTATTGTAAATCTAATGCATCAAGTAAAATCAAAATCTAGAAAATTCGGGGAGGGAGAGCATTAATAAATACTGCTTGTAAAAGAATTCTAAAGTAGATCACCTAACAAAATACTGTTAGCCCCAAACAATCATTACATAATATAAAATCATTAAGCTAACATGGAAACATTCAAAATAAAACTCCCTTAAAATTACTTTTTTGTTAATGTTGCTGCCTGCTGCTACAAAATATTTTTAAATTTATTTTAAAAACAAACATTTTAAAGAGATTAGTGAATTAGCTCTTTCTCATAGAATTTCATTATGTATTAAACCATTTAAATCTGTGAAAATATGCAATAGACAGTTCATATGAACAAACCTTTCAATAACTGATATTTTTTCCTTCATATTTCTAGAAATATTTTATTTATACAGAAACTGAATGCACTTGGGTCTTTCTTATGCTACAAAAAATCTTATTTTACATCTTTGGAATGATACGTTTAATCAACAATTTTTTAATATCTCTATGCCAATTATTTTCCCTCTGAATTATTAACTGAAACCAAGAATAGAAATTTTGGATTTCTTTTATAATGAAACAAGTAATTATCTCTGGTATCTGTAACAGAAGCTTTAGCAGTAAAGACTAAAAGTGAAGAATCCAAGTTGGGTCTGTATCAATGTAACGCTTTTTAGAAGTATAAAAAAAAAAAAATTGTCCTTATCCAGAATAAAGTAAATACGTGAAAACTTCATCCCAGGAGGCTTTATGAGGCAGCTCGCTAGTTTCCAAGTTTTATAACCGTATGGTTTTGTGATTCTCCAAATATGGCATAATAATCAAACATAATAATTTCTATACATGTATTCTAAAATGTATTACAAACTTTAAAGTTCACCTTACAAGTACGTTGTCTTGAAAGTTTAAAAACAAAAAACTTATCTATTTATCATTCTATCGCCATAACAATTTTTTTTTTTTGTCTTTTGTCTTTTTTCCTTGTCCGGCAACGGATCGCAACCCTCAGTGTTGCCCCCGTACCGGACCGGGGACGGCAACGGGATCGCAAGCCTCGGTGTTGCTCCCGCGCCTCGCTCAGCCAGTGAGCGGGAGCCGGTCTGTATGTGGGATCCGAACCCTCGGACGGGAGCGCCGCCGCGCTTCCCAAGCGGCGCACTATCCAGTGCGCCACCGGGCAGGCCCCGCCATAACAATTTAAAGCAATCTTGGCTTTGAGGGTCAAATAATTCACCTAAGTAAAGTGAAATTGAGGAAAGAGTACTGACTGTAGCCATTAAAAGGCCAGTTAGTTTTAGTGCCAGCTTTGCTATCCTGAGCAAACCACTTAAATTTTCAGGAGCTCAGATTTATCTGTAACATCGACAGAAGATGTTCCTCGTGAACCTACTCCACCCTTCCAGGATTCAATGAAAAAAGCATGCGGTACGATACCATAATCACTCTATCTTAACCATTAAGTTAATATAACTCTTTTCATTAAAAACTAAGATCTACTTAACACTGATTTTTTTTTTCCTGCACGTGAATCATAATCCTAACTTAAGAGAAAAAAAATTAACATGTCCTTCCAATAAGTGCAGTTATTTAACAGAATCATTGGATTCAAAAAAAAATTGTCCTTAAATTGCACTAATCCAATAACCAAACTAACGATTTCACAAACTATCTTCTCCAGTATCTCTCTCGACCTAACTTCACCGTTAGCATACCTGCCTCATATCTAGTATCAATCTCTCACACTGCTGAATGAAGCACTTAATTTGGAATGTATTTTCCTCTTCTCATCTGAGGATGTAAAATAATTGATCAGCATTCTCTGAATTAATCACCCATGATAAGTATCTTAAGACTTATATAAGGATAACTCGTTATAGAAAAAGAGACAACTCAAGACTTTCTCTAGAGTCCGAAAATAAAAAGGGTGAACCCCCCCCCCCAAACATATTTTGCACGCGCGTTTACTCGGAGCTGCTGGCCGGGCTGCAAACTCAGCCCAGCGCCCTATATGAAAGCACTGCACTTCCAGACACTGCCAAGCCAGTTTGTTCATAAAATAAAGCAACAGTTGGGCAAATGTCAAATGCCCCACTACAAAGAACCTGACAGTAAAAAGAACCCGATTAACATAACCTATGAACATACAACGGTGCTCTGAATGGTACTAAAAGTTGACTTTTCTTCTATTTTCATCCTTGCTCCACTGCATAGAAGAAAACAGAAATATTTAAAGCAAACTGCGAATTTAGCAAGTAACTTTTCAAAGTCTACCTCACTAAAATTTTGAATGCTGGCTTGCTCATAGTCAATAAGTGGTAGAGGACAATAAAGAACCTTTATGTCCCCAACTAGCAGTAACAGCAGAGACCGCGGCAGCACTATCCTCGAAAAAGGACGCAGCTCCCTGTGTATTTTAGTGCGATTATACAGTAATTAGTCACGACTGTCTCCACTAGACTGTAAGCTCCAAGAAGGCAGGAACCATGGCTTACCACGGCAGCCTCAGCGTCTAGAATAAGCGCTCAATAAACATCTGCTGCAGATATAAGGACGGATGACCCAGAAGGAAGGCGGCGGCACCGGGGGTAACCCCACAATTCATGGGGCTCTTCCTCGCCCTCCCCTCAGACTCTACTAAGGTCCCCTGCAGACTCCCCCAAGTTCTCCTCAGAGCTCCCAAACTCGGCGGCAGTTCGCAGGGTGTCGCCCAGCGCTCCGACTTTCCCTCCGCCTGCCGCGACCTGAGGTTGGATCCGCACGAAGCAGCCGCGGCGCGCGGGGCGGAGCGACGCCAAAGTAACTCCGGCCCCGACACAGCGCTTCCCCGCGCGGCCGCTACCACCGGGCGCACGCGCCCCGCCACGCGAACGCCACCCCATCCCTAGAGAAATCGGGCGGCGGTTGCTGGTGCTTTTGTGCCTGAGGAAAGAGCCTGAATGCGCAAAGGACGCGGTGAAAAAACCGGTTGGCCCCCTTCCGCCACCCACTCAGGGACAGCTCGGGTTCCCACACGTTGCTGCTTCCCAGCAGGCCCGCCTCCGCCTCCGCCCCCAGCCCGGCCGACTCCGGCCCGGCCCTGCCCCCGGTGTCTCTCCCAGAGGCGGGATGGGCCTGGCATCCCTACCGCGCGAGGTTTCACCTTCTGAATCGCGGCGGGAGTGATCTCCCCCTTGCCTCGCTGCCTTGGGGCTGCGAACGCCACAGACATGTTGCCGCCGTCACCCCTATCGGCAAGTCCCTGTAGCTCCGCCTGAACGGCAAACGGGGGAAAGACGCCGGCCTCTCGGGCGGAACCACCTCGGGAACGCGGGGAGGGGGGATGCTCCAGTATCGAGCCAACAGCCGGCCGGCGTGGCCTAAAGGAGGAGTTCTGACCAATGGAAGAATTGTTTCTGCACGATTTTGGAGAGCCACAGCCCCAGCAGAACTTCCGCGTTCTTGACCGTGTTCGCCTCCCTCAACCTTTCCTTCTCTGAACCCCCGTCCCTTTGCGCAAATGGTAGGGCCGCGCCCTAGTCCTCCCTCCCCTTCAGCGATTCAGGAAATGGTCCCGCCGTCGCGGGAGAGGGAGAGGCCGGGGCGGCCCCTGTCACAGGAAATGCGAGCGGCCGGAGCCGGCCCGCCCCTTGCGCGCGGGTGCAACTTGCCTCCCCCTCCGGCGCTCGGAAGCGTCCGTCGAACTGCGTTTTGATTCTCTGCTGTAGACCTAGTTCGGTTTTTCCAACTTCACCCTCACCCCTCCTGGGAGGAGTGGCCGTCCGAGTTGTCTGGGCAGTCGGGAGAAGGGAGAAGGAAGGTCAGCACTCGGGAGTTCGTGCAAACCTGTGGAGCATCTGCCAGATAAAGCAGAGGTGGAAGGACTAGTGAACGCGGATTCATTGGTTTAAACGGCTCGGCGACGCCCCAAATGCGCACCTCCTGGTCGTGTCTAACGATTGCAAAGTAACCCTGACCCAAAATCGGGACACGAAGCCTGTGTCCAGTACTCAGGGGCTGTCGGCCAACTTGGCTAGAGTGGCCAGAGGAGAAGAGCTCGTCTCTTGGGACAAACCCTTGGCAGAAATGTGGGTCGATTCCGTCTGACTTAGATCTTCGGAATTAAGTTTTGAAATAGGGCACTCGCACTCTTTTCTTTTCCAGTTATATACTTAGTGGCTTGTAAATTAGGCCCAAGCTGCCAGGGTTTAAGTCAGTGTAAAGGAAAAGAAATCAAAGTTTTCAAACTATGCAAGGAATATGGGTAAATGTGGGTAATGTGTTGCTGTGGGTTTTTTAATTATCCTGTGAATTCAAACTTCCATATGAAACACAAAGGGAAAGTTTATGTTACCCAACATTAATGGGCCTCAAAAATCAGTATCTCAGTTTATATATAACACAAGTTGGAAAAATAAAGAGAAAATACTTATTTTTAAGATTTATGTTTCAAATAAGTGCTTCTCACAAAAAGGTCATGAGTTTCATTCATTCAGCAAATTTTTTTTTTTTGTCTTTTGTCTTTTTCCGTGTCCGGCAACGGATCGCAACCCTCAGTGTTGCCCCCGTACCGGACCCAGAACAGAAACTAATTCTTGTCCACCACTAACACTGTGTCCAACACCTGGCATGCAAGGTCACATCTTGATGTTTACACAAAAGTACCTTAGGGTACTTAAGGAAAAAATGGATCTTAAGGGCCAGCCCCATGGCTCATTCGGAGAGTGCGGCGCTCAAAGCACTGAGGCCGCGGGTTCAGATCCTCTATAGGGATGGCCTGTGCACTTGCTGGCTGAGCATGGTGCAGACCACACCTTGCGGAGGGTTGTGATCCCTTACGGTCAAAAAAAAAAAAAAAATGAATCTTAAATAGTCCTACTGCTCCAGCTCTGTTAGGTCCCTAGAACTGAAAACCTGACTTTTAGCAAGCTCCCACCGTTCGGTTTTCTCTAAGCGGTAAGTTTCTATCTCCCTAAGACTCTGTTCCCACTACCAGGCTGAACAAGCTGTACCCAGAGTGTAACATTGTAACTGCTTTCCCCAACTAGCCCAAGGTCTCTGTCTCCCTAAGACTCAGTTCCCATGAGCAAGCTGTACCAGGAATGGAACAATTGTAACCGTCTTCCTAGGCTAGGCCAGATGCCAATCTTAACTCTATAAAAGAAGACAACCAACTGCCTCTCCGTGCTGACACCATTTTTCAGCTCAGCCCGGAATGTCCGCTTGCTACTTGCTAATAAAATCTTTTCTTCTTTTACCTGGCTACTGTCTCCTTCCTCAGCGACCCTTACACTGTCCACTTGGCATATAGCACTGAAAAAAAAAAAAAGCACAACATTACTAATAGTTGTCTGAATTTCTATATCCCAGTAAAATAAAAATGTTCCAAGGGAATTCCCATTCCAGTGGCACCTAGAAATAGGTACCTTTCTTTGCTTTAATTACAGCTTTCCAACAGAGGGAAAGAGAAATCCACTGAGAATAGGTTACAGATCTGCCTGAGGTGTTTATTTCTTCAGAATTTCAGGATAAGGCCTAAGGCACCCATAGCCCCCAAGCATGGATAACCACAGCCTTTTCTGTGATACCATGTATGCCATAAAAGTACAGTACCATTATTTTCTATGTGGCCCATTCTGAGGGAAATAGAATAATTTGGTCAGGCTCCCTCCACATTTCTTTGTAAACAAATTGTGTGTGGGTGGAGTTAGTGCACATGTGCACCCATGTATCTTTCTAGTTTGTTGCTTGTGTGTGTTCTTCAGTTTGTAAAGCAGGCTGGCCTGCAGAACTCACGTCTAAAAATAGAGCATGTTTACTCTGCTGGCAGCTGCTCAGTTTCAGTTTTTCAGTGGACTTTGCTAGTAGCAGTTGAGTATCGGAGTTTCTCTTTGTACTTCCTAGCTCATAGTGTTGTGGGTGCTGAATAAAGACTATTCCTTCTTCAACCAAGGCTCCAAGGACCGTTTTGTCCAGTTACCCAGCTGGTAGACCTGCGTGTGAAGCGTTTGTGAATGGGCCTGAGGGGTCTGTGAGCACCAGAGACCCAGCCCTAGCTCTACACCCATTGAGACAGGAGGTGCTCAGTTTCCCTGGGGTTGGGTTTGAGGCCACTCCTCTGGGTCTCAAACCACTCCCTTAGGACACAGGCCCCTCCCAGAGGAACTGAGCTACTGTTGCTTATTGCACCTATTTTTGGCACCAACACACTGAGACTGAGAGGGCAGGAGGCAGATTTAGTAATTCCGGTGGTTGAGCATGCTCAGGAGAAAGGAGTTTATCCCATGAATGACCTTCCACTGGTGGCACTAAAGAGCATCTAGCATATTTTAAGTGTATTCAGTGGAATTTGACAGATGAGCATGTTCCAGAGAGACCAATTAAGCATGTACAAGGCTACGTTACATAATCTGTTACATAACTGGGTACAACCCCCATAGTTGAATATTCATTAAATAGCATGAATATGTATAGAGAGCCAAACCATAAAAGTAGAATCCAGGAAGAAGGTGGGGTTGTTGCTCATTGTCTCTGGAGCCAGCTCACACTTCACCTATGAGGTGTGTATATTTTACTTTTTATGTTAAACTTGCCTTTAGCAGGCTGCTGTTCACTCTGGAACCGGCCTGCACTTTGGCTATAAAGTGTGTATTTCTCACTGTGCATTAAATTTGCTGCAGCCACTGCTCAATATCTGGAGCTAGACCACATTTTCCCTGTGAAGTCTGTATTTCTTATTCTTTACATTAAACCTGTTTTTGCTTTCTACTCCAATTCTCNGGAATCGGTCAGTATGTGGGATCCGAACCCTCGGGCGGGAGCGCCGCCGCGCTTCCCAAGCGGCGCACTATCCAGTGCGCCACCGGGCCGGCCCCTCATTCAGCAAATTTGAGTGCATTCCTTATACTGGACGCCTGGTATACAACTGTAAACAAGCTGCATATGAAACCTGCTCTCAAGTTTATATTCTAGTGGGCCAACATCAGAAACAAGTAAATATGTACATATGTAAAATCCTAAGAGACTAGCAAACAAAGGACTAAGAATGACAAGTGCACCGTGAGATTATGAAATATGTATTTGATCTTAGTCCCCATCCCTTTCCTGGTTTACAACTCCAAAAATCCTTAGAATCTCCAAAGTGATGTTTTTGTATGCTAGCAAGTTGACTCAAGGCTGGCAGCCCCTAGGCTTCAGGATGGGGGCTGGTCACCAGAAAGACTGAGGCCAGATTAAAAGGTTGGGACTTTCAGCCAACCCTCAGTCTCCAGGGAGGAGGATGGGGATGAAGTTTAAATTGATCATCAGTGGTCAGTGATGCAGTCAATGTTGCCTATGTAATGAAGCCTCCATCCATAAAAACCCAAAGAAAGGACTGGGTTTGGAGAGTTTCCAGATAGACAAACGCATGGAGGTTTGGAAGCTCCAGAGAGGGCATGGAAGCTCTGTTCCCATTACCTCATACCTCTCCCTACACATCTCTTTATCTATATCCTTTGTTATAAAATCTGGTAAACATGTTTCCCTGAGTTCTGTGAGCTGCTCTAGCAAGTTAATCAAACCCAAGGAGCATGTTGTGGGAACCCAGATTTATAGCCAGTCAGTCAGAAGCGCAGGCTTCTATAACCTGGGGCTTTCCAATGGCATCTGAAATTGAGAGGAAGCGGCAGTCTTGGGGACTGAGCCCTTAATCTGTGGGATCTGACACTATCAGTAGTGTAGATAGTGCCGAAATTAAACTGGAGGGCACCCAGCTGGTGTCTGCTACAGAACTGATTGCTTGCCTGCTGGTGGGGAAATCCCTACACATTTGGTCATGGAAGTCTTCTGTGTTGATTGCTGCTGAACAAAATCAACACTTTGTGTTTTTTCTCTCAAAGTGTTTTTCCTCTCAGGCACTCACAAGAGTTAGTGTGAGAGTCTTCTCCATTCTATTTAAATTGAGACCTAAGGATTAGAAGATGCAAGCCAAGGACCTGCAAAGCCCGAGGCTCACTTGGGAGAGTGCGGT